CAACCGCCATACGTCTGCATGCTCGACTTCTCGCATTCTTCTTTGTATGGTTGGCCTGTCATAGCATGGCTCTGAATCCATGGATTCAACAAACCTCAGATAGGAAATATTCTCTCAAAAAATATTAGCAATTGGGTGTGGTGGTATGTACCTGTAAAGTACTTGGGAGGTAGAGGCAGGAAGATCAGTTCAAGATCAACCTCAGCTATATAGTGAGTTCAAGGCCAGCCTGGGCTACATAAGACCTTGTCTTGAAAACAATGGCATCTGTACTACACGCGTTCAGACTTTTTTCTTGTCATTATTCCCTATATAGCAAAGCGTGACAACTCTTTATACGACAATTACATTGCACTAGGTATTGAAGTCCTCTAGAGGTGGTTTTAAGATATACATAGGGTATATGCAAAATGTTGTCTTTTTCCATAAGTGACATGTATGGAGCAGAGGATACCCTAGGACCAACATCTTAGATTACTGATACTCTGGGGCAGCCACTCTTCCCATTCATTTTCCATGATAAATTTTGCTGTAAGGATCAGGTTACCTATCATTTTAGTTCATGCTAATTTTTTTTTTTACATAGTGCGGTATTTTTTAATCCCCAAACTTTTTTTTTTCTTAAAGCATATTGCTCAGTAATAGCAAAGGAAGTCCAATGCAACCATGGAGGAGGTAGGGAATCAAGGAGTTTTGGTCTTTGGTCCATCATGGGTTCTCCAGGGATTTGCACGACCATCATTATCTAGGACTGAAGTCATCTGACTGCTCTGGTACCTACTGAACTCCTGGGCCAAGAATCCTGATCTCACCCCCACCGCAATCCCAGGCAATGGGAACACATTTTGGCAAACCACTGTTTGGTTCCATCCTTACCCCACAGCTACAGACATGCCCAATTTGGCAGAACCCTTGTTCTGGCAACATAATTAAGGAGTTGTTATTCTCCCAAGGTTAAATACTTAATCTCTACAAGTGACTGTCAGGTACATCTTGAAATATGATTCAGAGTCAGGAGATGTTACCAAGCTGAGGCTGAGGCAGGAGAACTAATTCAAGATGGGTCAGGGCTTCAACCTGGGCTACAAACTGGGACCCTGTCATTTTCTAAGCATTCTCTAAAGCCAAAATCTTATTGTTTCTGATTACTAAATGCAATACTGTCACTGGGTGCACCTTAACATGACTCGATCTGGATGCACTGTAAACTGTATTTTGCAAGTATTTGCTTCAAACCATCTTGCAGCCAGCAAGAGTCTTCGTGATCAACCTTTGCCTCAGCAACATCAGGTGCAGTTCCCTCCAGCTGATGCGGGATGCCATGGACTGGTGACCACTGGGGCCTTCAAAGGGCTCCATGTTAACTATGCCCCGACCCACACTGAGACAAGAATTTTAAATAATGCTTTGGGTTCTGCAGATCAGACAACAACTTCTTCTGTTGTTAATTAGATAAAAGAAATAGAAAGCAAAATGATTGGCCCCAGGAGGAAGGTTTTCCCGAGAGGACCCCATCGGAAGACGTAGGAGTGGTGGAAGAATTGTTGTTTTGGTGAAAGATGGGCTTTGGAAATGTCATCCTCCTTCACTTTAGCGCTGCCACGATCATCACTATTGAAACATACACCAAAAGCGTCATTTCTAAACCGTCAGCCAACCCGGGATGGAGTTACTTAATTGGTTAGACAGAGTAAATGGGGATGTCAAAGTCCTCTACCTTCTCAGCTTCCTTCAAAGTGAAAACAAATCTCTACATTTTAAATGAAGAGGGAATCCCTGCGTCATTTTTGATTTGCTCCCATAGCAAAGCCAACTGCAGAGCCAGGCATGGAGGCACATGCCTGTTGTCCCAGCACTTGGGTGGGGGGGGGCGGCTAATGCCGGAGCATCAAGGGTTCTAGGCTGGCCTGGTCAGTTCATAAAGGTGCTGCCACAAAATCAAACCAAACCTCAAAGCAAACTACGTAAAAATGTCCTTCCAAAGAGAAGCCCAAGAACGAATTCAAGTTCACCTCATACTGTTAACTCGATGCAACGACCTTAAATTTTCAGTCAGTCCTCTCTCAGCCAAGCTTCCTGGGCCCTTTTTGCTATTATTTAACCTGACTAACCTGGTGTTTCTGTATGAACCTGTGTCTCCTCAAGCTCTTCCCTGAGTAAAGAATAATGATTAATTGGGGATGAAAACCAAATCCCAGAACAATTATGAAAGCGTAATGGAGAGTGCGTCGGTACCGCAGCTCAGCAGGGGAAAGATTCGCGGGGAAGCCAGAAATCTTCCACTAGTTGCCCCAGCTTGCCTGGAGGTGTTCCTGCGAGTGATCCTTTGTGTACTTCTGGGCAACAGGATTAAGCCCAAACCCAAACTGTTTGTTTTGCTTTTGCATAACATCCCTGTCTTTCCTCCTTTACAGTTGATTGGGTGGGGCAAGCGGCAACTTTCTGAGTCTCATGCCTCTCTCTTGCTCTTCTCTGGGTTTTGCAGGGTCAGGTGAGCTCTATCTTTTCCCTCCTTTAGGGGAAGGTCAGAGGTGCCGAGTGCCCAAAGGACAGGCCTTCCCTTCACCTTTGATGGCCTTTCATTTCTTTCCTATCTTTTTTTCAGTGCTGGGGTTTGAACCGAGGGCCTTGAGCAGCGTGTGTACTAAACCTGATACCCCTGAGCTGTAGCTCCAGCCGCAGTTTAAAATTTTTAAAACTGCATTTCACTATGCTCCCATTTTTCCTCTCTCTTTTTGAAAAGTATTTGTTTTTATTTCTATTTTGAGATAGGGTCTCACTAAGTTGCCCAGGCTGGCCTTGAACTTGCCATTCTTCCCGTTTTAATCTCTAAAGTGCTGGGATAACAGGACTATGGGAACTTCCAAGTCTTCTGTTGCTTCACATAAATAATACTGTCTGGATTTTGGAGCTGTGTTCTATATATCTTAATAACTCTCTCTCTCTCTGTGTGTGTGTGTGTGTGTGTGTGTGTGTGTGTGTGTGTGTTTTCCTTGGTGTACTAGATATTGAACCCAGGGCCTTAGGGATACTAAACAGGTGCTTTACCACTGAGCTACACACTCAGCCCTCAAAAAGAATAGCTTAATAACTCTAACTCTCTCTCTCTGTGTGTGTGTGTGTGTGTGTGTGTGTGTGTGTGTGTTTTCCTTGGTGTACTAGATATTGAACCCAGGGCCTTAGGGATACTAAACAGGTGCTTTACCACTGAGCTACACACTCAGCCCTCAAAAAGAATAGTGTTCACCACATAAAGGGTTCTTCTGTCTACAGTACAGAGAATATCTTTAAGATGGCCCCAGGGAAGGAAAGACATGTCTAGCCTGATTAATTGGCTAGTTCAGGAGTAATTGCTTCCAAAGTGAGGACCAGGGGCATGGTTGCTAAGCTTATGAGTATCGGCTTTGTTCTTGACTGTAGGAAAAGGCAGGTAGGAAAGGCTGAGGTATCCCATCTCAATAGCAAAAAGCTCACAGCATCCATTCGGGATAAGCAGGCTGGACTGCAGCCTGTTCAGAAGGAGGAGTAACAGGCAACGGGCATCCTTTAATACAATAACCAGTTTTGTAAAATGTTCTCCTATAAGGACTTTTAATCCAGGAATTTGGTCCAAGAGCAGGCACAAAAGGAACTATAGCTATATTTTTGAATATGTGAACAGCATCATCGGCATGGTACCGGATTAAGTTCATTTATGGTAATTCTTATTTTAGTTGGTATCTGTACTTCTTAATACAGTAATGTCATTAATGTTTATTCCCTCAGTCTGTGTAAATCTGAACCTCTATGTTATTGGCCAGTTGGAAAGGGTAATGTAAACAGATTCGGTTACCCTAATTAAGTTATGTATCTGTATACCGAGGGCTTTGTCAGGCTGCAACAATTTCAGTATTCATTCTAAGCCACAAGGCTTTGCCAAAATGAAATTACCGATGCCAAAATTATCCTCTGTTGTTTAGACACAGCAGACGTAATAACCTAATATTTAACAGTGTTATTTTTGGAAAAGGGATGAGGCCAGAGAGTGAACTGTCCTTTGCACCTCACCGAAGAAGACCCGGGACAGGAAGGGAGCTGCTTGATGAAATGGCTGCGTTTTCTTTCACTGCTGAGCTAAAGACCCAGGGGAGGGCTCCTCAGAACATTTGCTTGAGGCAGGTGCAGAAAGAGTTCAGTAAGGGGGAAAGAAAAATAATCCGTAAGCAGAAAAACAAAACATGTAAATAGTAAAAGCGGGGAGAGTGAAACTCCAGCTGAGGACACGCCATTGGGCTGGAGTCTGGGTGCTTTGAGTCTCAAGTTCCTACTTGTAGGAAGGTGTTCCAGTCTATCCGCAGAGACCTTCCAGGGGGAGAATGAGCCCTGAAGAGCACCCTCTCTTCACAGGCCGGAACAAAAGCTCATTTTCCACTGGGAGTCAATAAAAACTCTACCTTGTGAAATGCAGACAAATGGAAAGGAAAATGGAAAGGCAATCAGCAGCCCAGAGGATGCTTAAGATTGCACATAAAGTAGGTCATGGAAAGCTGGGTGTGGGTGAAAGCCTGCACTTGGGAAGTAGAGTCAGGGCCATCAGGAGTTCAGAGCTAGCTTTGGCTACATAGTAAGTTCCAGGACAACCTGGATTGCCGGAGACCCTGTTTTCACTTTGTTTTTTAATGTAAAGTCATGGGGAAAAAAATGGAAGAATAGATAGAGATGATTAAACTCTTAACCCTGTTTGGATGCAGATCGGAAGGTCGTTTCTGACCAGGATTCAAGCTCCTTTCTGCGAAGCCTTCAGGTCTCATCCAAATTAGAGGGTATAGCTCACTACCTGCTCATTAGACCCCAACATTCTGTAACACCAGAGCAGATGCCTGAGTAAGAGGAGAGGGGTTCATGTCAAAGTCACTCCCCCCCCCCCACCTCTGCCGTGTCAGATCCCCTAGGACCGGAACTCCTCCCCCTGGGAGCTCTTGTTTTGGAAACTGGTGGGGTGGGGCCAGAAAACATTACAATGGAGCTGGGATGGAGGAGGTGTGCTTTTATTTCAGAGTGTGTCATTTGAGCGGAGTCTCCTGAAACTGCAGCTAACAGAACGGAGGCTGTGTTAGATCCCCTGGGTTGTTAAGCTGGCGCACCCCGGAGAGTAGGCGACAGAGCAGGCGGGAGAGGCAGTAGAGGAGGGCAGGAAGCCGTACGCCTAGCCGGCTCATCCCTTCAACTTTGGCTTTTGCTGTGGTGATTGTAACAGGAGGAGGAAGAGCTAGGAGAAACCCCTGAGGGAAAAGAACGTAAGGAGGGGTGAGAAACTCAACTGGAAAAGAAGTACCAGCGGGAGTGAAAGCAGCCCGCAGATGCAAACGGGGAGGCCAAAGGAAGAGGAGGAAAAGGCTGGGCTCCGGCAACCTGCTGCTGGGATTTAGACAAAGGAGGTTTTTAGAGAGGCGGGATCAGATTCTAATATCGGCTTGAGGAGAGAGCCCGCAGCTGGGCTGGGGAAGATGAAACGGCCGGAATTCACAGTGACTGGAGCATGTACCACAGCCAGAGCTCCCAGGAATTAGTAAGTCTGGGAAGGGATTTGCAGAGCTTGATGGGCGCTGACATCTCCCCCCTCTGTAAGGCATGCCTCCGTCCATGCGTTACCTCTTCATAGTCTCTGTGACCACTGTCATCGTTTTTATTGTGCTCTACCTGTTAAGTTTTGGGGGAGATCAAAGCTACCAGAAGCTGAACATCTCAGATTCTGTGATGCTGACGCAGGTGTGCACATCCTTCATCAACGGGAAAACCCCTTTCCTGTGGAGAAACAAACTGATGATCCATGAGAAGCCTTCTTGCACAGAATATGTGACCCAAAGTCACTATATCACAGCCCCTTTATCTCAGGAAGAGGTCGAATTTCCTTTGGCATATGTCATGGTCATCCATCACAATTTTGACACCTTTGCAAGGCTCTTCAGGGCTATCTTCATGCCTCAAAATGTCTACTGTGTTCATGTGGATGAAAAGGCAACAGCTGAATTCAAAGGTGCAGTGGAACAGTTAGTGAGCTGCTTCCCCAACGCCTTCCTGGCCTCTAAGATGGAACCCGTGGTCTATGGCGGGATCTCCCGGCTCCAGGCTGACCTGAACTGCATCAAAGATCTGTCCACCTCTGAGGTCCCCTGGAAATACGCCATCAACACCTGTGGGCAGGACTTCCCCCTGAAAACCAACAAGGAAATAGTTCAGTACCTGAAAGGGCTGAAGGGGAAGAATCTCACTCCAGGGGTGCTGCCCCCAGCTCACGCAATTGGAAGGACCAAGTATGTGCACCGGGAACACCTGAGCAAAGAGCTTTCCTATGTCATCAGAACCACCGCACTGAAGCCTCCACCTCCCCACAACCTCACCATTTACTTTGGCTCTGCCTATGTCGCTCTGTCGAGAGAGTTTGCCAACTTTGTTCTGCATGACCCCCGGGCAGTTGACTTGCTCCATTGGTCCAAAGACACTTTCAGTCCCGATGAGCACTTCTGGGTGACGCTCAATAGGATTCCAGGTATGTGAGAGTCCATGTTACATGCAAAGGAATGCCTGCAGGTCTCCTTATGCATGGGTGTGGCACCTCAGGGTCCAATCCACCTTGGATAGAAAATATTCATTTAAAAACAATGTGCCTGTGTTGAGTATATGTAAACTTTCTTGTTACGATTCCTTAAACAATGCAGTTTAACAATAATCACATGGCATTTCCACTGAGTTAGGAGTCACAAGTCATGAGGAGACCATATCAATATACAGGAGGATGTGTGTGCATAGGTCATATGAAAATGTTGCACCATTTGATATAAAGGACTTATATCCACAGGCTTTGATCACCCAATGGGGCCCTGGAGCCAATCACCCAGGGATGCTGAGGGGTGGCTGTGTTTATAGGACTTGTGAAGGATCTGCCTCTTGAAACTGAAACAGGAATTAGAGATGTAGACTGCAGTGTAGAGTCCTCACCCTGGTCTCTTATGAGTGCTCATAATGCTCTTTGTGGGATCATTCCCAAGCACTGCTGTCCCGTGCGCCGCTGGCAGCTTACATCTCTCGCCGTCCTCTCTTAGCACCGTGTTTAGTTCATACTAGAAGTTCTCTTCTCCACAGACTTATCAGACTTCCTCGTAGTCCAAGATCTTTACCTGAGCCACCCTTCTGCCCACCTCCAGAACCATACAGCTTCCTTCTCACCTGCCAGACCACAACTCCGGCCAACTGCCTACCCCTTCCTCACCCACAGCCATGGGCCAGCGCACTGCCCGGTTTTCCCGGCAAAGAGTCACTGTGTGTAACGATCATGTATACCAATCTGCATGGATTTGTTGCTGATCTTTTCTGTGGGAGCTGTGTGAAGTTGAGGTCACTTGCTTCTCAATGACTGCTCTATCTCCAGTGGTTAGTCCCCATAGCAAATGTTCAGTGGGTTTGTGTTAGATGAAAGAGTGTGAGCAGGCGAGTGATGAGTGAACAAATGGCAGAAGCCGGGGCTTTGCTAGGTATGGGGCTGTAGCTAACTGTGCAAGATGCAGAATGCCGAGAGATGCTTGGATCTGTGCAAATATCACACTGTGAGCACATACTGCTCCTCCAGAGGACCAGAGGTCAATTAGTTCCTGGCACCCATGTAGGCGGTCACAACCACCATCTGCTACTCCAGTTCCAGAGATCTGACCCTGGCCTCCACAGCCGCCTCCACTCATGTGCAGGTACTTGCACAATAGACATACTTATGTATAGATAATTTAAGAAATACATTTGATATATTAAAAAAAAAAAAACCTTACATTTTACTTCATAGAAATAATGTGATTCCAAGACAAAGCCCCTTCTTTCTTATCAAAAGAGTTTTTTTACCTTTAATAATTGACTAGACCAATTATTTTTATTACAGTTTTATTTATTTTGTGTGTGCGGGGGCAGAGTATGTCATGGCACAGATGTGGATGTCAGAGTGTCCTATTCTATCCCAAGAAACCAAGTTTGGTCACTTGTCCTCAAGAAGCCAGCTAACACAGTCACATTAACAGTAAAAAGCAAAAAGAGACTTATCCACTGTGGCCACAGTGGGTAGAGGGGATGCAGGGCATCACCGGATCTCTAACTTCTTAGGGTATATACTGTGACCCCCAAGTTCGATCATGAGAACAGTTTTTGGGAGTTGATTTCCTCCTTCCCCCATTTGGGTCCATCTTGGCAGCAGATGCCTTAATCTGCTGAGCCATCTTGCTAGCCCTGAATCACGTTCCTTAAAACATATATAAACTGTGATAGCATTTCTCTGGAAGGCAGCAGCGTGCTTTGGACTCAGTGGGAAAGACAAATGGCTTGCTAATGAACTAGACAGCGCGATTGCGGTGAGAGAAAAGCAATCATTGTCCTGCCATTGGGGGAATGCCAAGCTGGGAAGGCTGCTAAGTGCTCTGGGGCAGCAGGCAGGGCTTGCCGGGTAATAAACATGCTCGTGTTCTGGAAAATACCAGCGGGTTTGGTCTCTGCATCCCAGTGTGGCTGGCAGAGGCACTTAGCTCAGGTTCGGCGTACTCTATCGTCTTTTCACCCTGAATCTGTTGCTTCTATTATTGGCATATAATTTGGGGACACTAAGCACTTAGAAGCTGATTTTCATATTTAAATATTTATTCCTTTTCTATTTCCAGGATTCTCTTAAAATTCATGAGAGTTGGAGTCTAACCATGTGCACATCGGGGATGGTCCTGAGTGAGATAAGGTCATTATGTAACTCGGCCAAAGTATGGCTTGTCACTTCTTTTAAAATAGAAAAAGACATGGCCAGGTGTGGTGGTACATGCCTGTACTCTTAGCACTCAGGAGAGGACCAGCAGGATGTGAGTTCAAAGACAGCCAGCTTAGACATCGGGGCCCTGCCTCAGAAATGAGGGAGGAAGGCAGACATGACATTGGGTTTTGGTTTTTGTTAAATATCTCTGATTATTTCAGCAAGGAGTGGCCAGTTTGATCCATGCCAAATTAAAAAAAATAATAATAATCAAGGACAGAAGAATCTTCTTTCTCCCTCAGCCTCCTTCCTCTTTCCTGCCAGTCAAAAGGCAAGATGAGAGATAAAGAATGACCGACCAGTCTCGCCAGGATGGTGGCATCGATCTGCTATCCTAGTGTGGGGATGCTGGAGCAGGAGGCTCCGTTGAACCCAGAAATTTGAGACTACTCTGGGCATCATAACAAGACTCCATCTTCAAAATAGGATAACCAATTTAGTCCAGGAGAGAAAACCTTTTTGTCTGGAGGTCTGTGGTGTGGCATACCAGCTTCTCCCTTCTTGCAGCAACAGTATAACCTCAAGTAAAGTGTGGACATTCACCCATCTCCAGCTACAAAATGAGAGGGTCAGGCAGAAAGAGCCCACTTGTTCCGACATGGGCCACTCTTTGTAGAAGACACAGTGCCCAGAACATGGTACACAGCACCTGAAGTAATACGGGTGGGGGGCAGTGCTTGGAGCCTGGGAGTCACACTGCCTGTTAGCTTCATTGACGGTGCTCCGTTTTCTGCAGGAGCTGAGGGAGGGCAATCAGCTGAGCGACTCCCTGTGGAGGAGGGTGTGTGTGTGTGTGTGTGTGTGTGTGTGTGTGTGTGTGTGTGTGTGTGTGTGTGTGCAGGCCTTGCCAGTGGGCTCTCTCTGCATGAGACACACTTCAGGATAATAGGACACTTCCTGGGGTTCTGCCTTTTTCCTTTCTTGGACAGTTGGGGCCATCCTGGTTTAGAGGGAAAGGAAATCCTGTTTGTTAGGTGGGGCCTTCCCAAATTACAAGTGAATTCAAGCACACACCATTAAAAGCACTCTCCAATCTTCAAATCAATGTAAAAAAAAAAATCTAACCATGTGCTTGGCTAATGCTGGCATTTAACCGTGGAGCCATCTTTGTGGTTTAAAATTTGGGGTGTGTGTCTGACTCTCTACTCCCAGGTAGTTTTTAATCACACTCACTCAGTGTTCGGCATTGTCGCCTTTTAAAGGGAGAGGCTCTCCAGTGCCCACACTTTATGTGCATGCACAGTGTTATTTTTTCCTTCAGAGGCATCACTCAAAGTGTAAGTGTGTTAGAAAGATGCGGCCCAAATGTATCAGTACCCCAGAACATTCCCAAGAGAAATATGACTGAGAGGTTGATTGCATCTGATATGGTGTCAGAAAACCAAGTATGAATCATTTAAGAGGCTGAGAAGAGAGGCTGCCGTGTGCCACATGACATCATCACAGCGCTGGCTTACTTTTTCCTTGCGTTGTCTTTCTATGAAGAGAATGGCGTGTTTCTTAGTTTTTAATCACTGCAGTAGGAATGTGTCGGGGTGGGGATGTAGCTTAGCGATAAGACATTTGTTCTAGCACATGCAATGCTCTGGGTTCCATCCCTAGCACAGAAGAACAAAAGAAAAAGTCAAAGCAAAACAAAGCAAAAAAGTATGGCCCAAAGCTAGCCATACTCTGTGAACTCGCCCTCTTAAAAATTTGAGGAACTTGGGTTCATATAAAAAAAATGAACCAATGGAAAAATATGTAGGTTAATTCCTGTACAAAACAGCTATGAGAAGGAAAAATAAAACCCACAAGTACCAGATTAGCCTCTCTAAAGACAATGAGAGCATCCCAGTGTGGTGATGTGCTCTTTCCAACACTCTAAAAAACATCAAGAAAATGGTCTAAGGCAGAAAGAACAGCATGAGTCAGAATGAGAAAAACTAAGAATGGAGGATAAAACTGAAATGCTGCTTGAAAGTAGGAGAGCTGCCAGGGTGGCTTGGTGGGGGGACCCTTGCCTGGCAGCAAGACCTTGAGATGAAGATGAGGTGGGGGAAGAAGGGGGGACAGGAGGAGAGGGATGGAAAGAGGGACAGGAGATCAGGGGAAGGAGAGGAGAGGGAAGGTGATGGGAAGGAGGGGCAGAAGAGGAAAGGGGGAGGAGAGGAACGATATAGGGAGGAGGTGGGGGCTGGGAAGGAGTGGGTGGAGGAGGAGGAGGAAGAGAGGAGGGGGGAGAAAAAGAGCGTGGGGAGTAAGGGAAAGAGAGGAAGAAAACATAAGGTACCCAGGAAGATCACAAAGAGGGCCAGGGCCCCCACCCCGGTCTCAGGCCTTCAGAAAGCCAGGGAGCATGCTTGCCATTCTGAAGTGGCTCTTGAGCACATCTGGACAGCAGTTTTCAGAGGAGGCTGAGTGGGGTCCCAGGTTGCTCTGTCACTAGGCAGCAGGAGGTGCTGAGGCACCCATGACTTGCTCTGTTCTCACTGGTACAGGCCACCTCAAAGAACTGTTCCTTCTTCTCCTCCCCCTCCCCCCCTCCCCCTCCTCCTTCTCCGTCTCCTCCTCCTCTTCTTCTTCCTTCTTCTTCCCTAGCTCTTCTTGTTCTGTCATATTTTCATTTCTCTGCCCAAGACAGACCTCTAGAAGCCATGTAGCTCTATATGGCCATGTAGCACTGTATGATCATGTAGTGTATTGCATTTTGTTGTATTTGGGGGAGGGGCTGGGAA